GAGTTAAAATGAGTACAAAATGACAGAGCTGGTTACAAAAATAATTTTTACAGATGGCTTCTTTTTTTTTACTTTGAAAGTATGAGAACATAGTGACCGAAGCTACAAATGTCCAATTTGGCAGAGGTACAGACTGACCTGGAAGTGTGTTAAAATATATTAATTTTCCATAGTGATGTTTTGGTATTTTTATTAAATGGAATTTTGTGTCTTTTCAAAGACAACAAACTGAATGTAAAATGTCTGTTGTGGGTTGTTTTCTTATTCTCACAGCCAATCAATAATTCATGCTGATGATGTTCCAGGGATTTCCTGTTTCAAATTAATATCTTATATATACTGTATATATACAGTATATACACTGCTCAAAAAAATAAAAGGAACACTACTGCTCAAAAAATAAGGGGGACACTTGAACAATGCACGATAACTCCTGATCTTAATCAAAGAAATATTTGCATTGAGTACTTTGTTCTGTACAGAGTTGAATGTGCCTCACAAAAGTTTGATTTACTTGGACTTAGCGTGCGTTGTTTAAGTGTTCCCTTTATTTTTTTGAGCAGTGTAATATATATATATATTTTTTTTTTTTTAAGTTTTTGCCGTGCCATCACATCCGATTCATCAATCTTCCTAATTCCCTCAGGCATACACACTCAACATAAATCTGGCTTCATTACTTACAAATAATAGCTGCTTGACAAATAATAGTTACCATAAATCATACCCTAAAAACCTCTTTAACAGATCAATAGACTCTGAATTTGTTATATTTTGTCCTCAGTGCAACAGAACAACATAACCTTGCAGTCTTAGTAAAACAAAAATGACATTTTCTTATTTATTTTCCTAAATTTATTGCTTACATGGGAGAAAAAAATGTGAAGCATTGTAAATGCTTTAAATATGTCAAATATATTTTCTTTCATAGATAAAAGTGTACAGGTGTTATACAATAAATAGGTTTATGAAATATTTTGAAACTTTTTTTGTCATATATGTCATGGGTCTGTTTGACATGATAACATTGAACAGTAAATATATTACAAAATACGTGGCTTTTCTTTTAATCATTTACTAGGCTGCCCACCCCTTTATAAGCTCCCGGACTGGTAAACACACATTTTCCAATTAGAACCAATTATGTCCTAATCAATGGAGGAGATTCACGTTCTCTATTGAAAATCTGATAACAGGAGAGTCAAGGAGGTTAACCACAAACTCTATTCATCTTCATTACTGAGGACAGAAGGGCATTTTGTGAGATTTTCAAAATAAAAAGCTATAAACCATAAGAATGGGAAGAAGAAATGTCTACTAGGGTTTTTAGGCCAAAACGGGACTTTGTTTGATGAAAATATAATATAGAATATAAATTCAAAAATGAAAGTTATTTAGAGAAGAGGTTATTTAAATTAAAGCATCACAGCTATTTGATAGTACAAGCAGATTACTACATCATCGTATCATGTATGAACAACTTTCTTTGTCTACTTATTAATGGCTTTGTTAGTAGGCTTACTTTTTAGATCCAGATTATCAAAACATTGGGATGTAAATGAATTACTTATTTAAACTAGATGAGTCTTAACATCTTTGTTCCACTACATTATTTACAGCTTGCCACCAAAAGATTTTTGGCACTTACTAAATTTTATAGCCTGTACTAAAAACAAGGCTCTGAAGTCACCCGTACAAAAGAACACATCACATTTCATCAAACACTGCTGATACACACAGCCTTTTGTAACCGTGAGTGTTTTTAAACATAAAAAATAAATGATCTTAACTAAAGGCCTATCACCTCTTAAAAGGATGAATATCACCAGCACTTTTTATGCCAGAGTTTTAGGTTAAGATAACCTTGTGATGATTTGTAGCTGTTTGTGGTCAAACCTTGTGTGTTTTGCGTTGTGAGTAATTCTCAGCAACTACCACATCACATTTTATCTCAATATATATTTTTTCTGACTGGGTTATAGCTGTGTTTGTGTTAGGTAATGCCAATGAAATGCAGCAGCCAAATTGGATTGGATTAGCTCTAAAAGTTAATCAGTTGCAGATTAACACCCAATATTTGCTTTCTGGAAGTTTAATTAAATCAGCAAGGGGTTCTTTAGAAATGATGCTAGCAAACAAACAAGGTTGAGGCCTACAGTTCATATTGAAGTTTAAAATTAATGAGGTGCAATGCCCATCTTTATTTACAGTAGTTGGCTCTAAAAAGGTTGTAGATGTACATCCAGTGATTAATCCATCAATGTTTCAATGAAATTTTTCCAGACTTTCATGAAAATTAATTTTGTTAGTGGACTAAGTTGACTCCAAATAGTAATTAACAACATTTAAAAAATGATTTTCTGAAACCTGTTAGTGCTCAGATTATGTGAGGACATGATCACTCTTTACAATTTGACAGACAAGCCTTTCTTTTATCCTGAATCAAGCTACTTTAAATCTGGAGGACAGAGTTAGAAAATTCTGTTAAAAGCTGCAAGGCAGATTAAACAGTCTGGTGGAAAGCTTTGCGCATTATTTGCCATTTAACCAATTACACTATTTGCACTTTTTATTCCCATCACAGTGGACATACTTCAGGAATGTTTTTAGGACAGTCGTCTTTAAGGCATCTTTTCTAGGACATTGCGTTAAATCTAACTAATTTTAGTTAATGATTTTTTAGCTTTTTGTCATGTTGTTTTTATGTGTTTTTGCTTTTGCTTGTTGGTTCCAAAGATTTGTTCAGTGTTAGTAATCCTAGTTGTTATGTGATAATAACAAGGTCTGTATGGATCAGGATGCTTACCAAACCATAGAACAGTAGCTGACTGTTTAAAGTCAAAGGACAGAAGTGATTGAAGAGGGTTTGACAAACATGAACAAATCATCCTTCCTGACAACTTGTGGCCTTCTCATCATCCATCTTCACTCCTGAGCTGGTCTTCTGAATGGTAGAAGATTGTGGACGTATTTATGTGGCACATAATGTGCTATTCCTGTGCTATTTTATTTATTTATTTATTTATTTATTTATTGTTCCGCTCTTGGAGGAGTAAGACGATTTTTCCCTCTCTCCTGCCCTCTCTTATCTTCCCTGCTTTGCTGCTTGAAGCCTCCTTGGATTTGGTTAGTTGGTCTCTTAATAAATTTTTGGAACAATTTGTTTTTATTTTTCCATGGGAGGACATGTCAAATGTGGGACCTCTGTTCTGCTCTGTTCTAGATATATATTTGGATTCGATCACTGGATTCTACAGATTGGCTTGGTGGTCTCCTGGTGTTCTACAAACAGCGTCGGTGGCTATTCAGGCCCTTTCCTGGCTGCCTGACCAATATGAAGGATTGCCGTTCTATCAGCACTCACACTTTTGCCTTAAGCGAGCTGGACTCGGTCTGCAAGCGGTTCTGTTGAGGGTCGTGGGCTGGCTGTGGTTCCTGGGCTTTGCTGGCCAGATGGAATTGATCTTGGAGAAAGATGATAGCTCGGCTCGGCAGAATTGCCCAAATTATTTGTCTGATTAGATTCACCACCTTAAGATGTACCAACAGACATTAAGACAGATGAAAAATTGTTATTGTCTGTTTGCTCGAAAGTACTTCTTGTTCTCAAACAGCTGATTAACAGATTTGTGCCCAGGTAAAATAAACTACAAGCAAACACTGCGCAGAAAATTGATGTTCTGTTCTCTGATTGGCCCGGCTAAAAATCTGCCAGTGAAATCCATCTCAATGGGAGAAGTCCCAGACGGAGCAGAGAAGAGAAACTAGAATTGAGCAGAGCTGCGTAGGAAGGCAAGGGCCAGGCTACCCCCAACCCCCACCATTCGGAAAATTAACCCTTAGAGCACAGTTTGTTTACCTCTGTGTAGAGGGGAAAAGAGCATTAAAACGTAGGAAAACAAATTATTTTCACAATCTGAGAAATATTTCTTTACATGTTTTTTTATGTATCTACAAGAGTTAGTAGGAATGATGAGCACAAAGGGCACAAGTTAAATGTTTTACTGGTAAAAGTTTATTTAAAAAATGGAAAATAAGTTACCATTTTCTTAAAGAAATAGACTACACTTTTTTGAACAGGTGTATTTTAAATAAATGTTACAAATGTGTTCATTCCTACAAGCTGTCGAACATTTTTATCATTTTATTTTTTACATTTACAAAATACACAAAATTATAAATGTTATTAATAGAGATTAAATATAATGTTTTATGTTTAAATATGTGTTTTCTGCTATAAAATAATCCATCCATTCCGTCCTCCTTGTTCCTAATCAGGGTCAGGGTGGGAGCTTGAGCTTTGCTCAGATCTCAGACCATCACAGAGACAGCGACAAAAAACAAACAACTATCCACACTCCGGTCACACTGAAGAGCTCCAAAAGGGTTTCAAACTGGGAACTCTAGAATCAGATCCCCCTGCTGCTGCACAGTGTTTAAATTACTTAATAATAATAATAATAATAATAATAATAAC